TTGAAGTGGCCTTTCAACAGCTTGAAGTCCACCATATTCTTAAAACACTGGACTTGGATACAAGGCAGTGGGGCCGGAAAAGGTCAGCCTAAAACTGTTAAGCAGTTGTGTTGACCAGCTGGTTTCCGCTTACACATCTATCATCTCTGTCTAGTTGTAGGAACTGGGTCCCACCCCATGGAAGGAGGTAGATGTAGTTCAGCCCACAAAAGGAAGGGTTATTCAGTGGTTGATAACTACAAACCATTGCCGCTGCTTTCAATTACTGCCAAAGTTCTAGAGACATTAATTTCACAACAAATAATAGACTTTTTCCTTACCATCATCGATTATTGTGTGGTAGACTATATGGTTTCAGGAAAGGTCGTTCTTATGATTTAATAATGCACCTGTCAAGGCAGGAGTATTTGACTGGTTATGACACCTTGGTGAAACAGAACGAATTGTTGGTCATACGAAAAATGTATCCAAAACTGTTGATATTACTACATGGTCATTCAAGTATTATCATTATTGATGTAATTGATAAAAAACAGTTGGCCCCGTACAGTGCTCTGTTGCAGACATCTAAAGAAATCCATCCACTGAAGGATTTTTCCTCCATCCTCTGAACCGTGTAAATAATAATAATAATTTTATTCACAAAAAGGTACAATGGGTTGGTGATATTACATATGATTGGTATTTGTACATTCTTGCAAAGCCACTAACTCGCATGGCTTTTCGGGCAGGAAGTTGAAAGGAAGTTTGTGTAGAAGAGTTTATTAAATTAAGTGGGACAAATTGTGTAATATTGATAAGGAACTGAGTAGAGTAATGCAGGTCTTTGTCGACAGTGGACACACTAAATAATATATTGATGAGATCTGAATAAGGAAGTTGAACTGTTATAACAGTCTCTCATAATATGGGCAACAATACGTAATATGCCACTGATTATACTCTCCTACGTGAACTTCTTTTTCAACAGTCCACATGACAGAGGAAATAGTCCTGAAGAATATCACTGACAGAAACGTAACCAGTAACTAAATTAACAAAGGTGATACAGCTCACTATTTTCAACAGGACCAAGGAGACAGTTATCCTGCTCCTACAGCAGTCGCATAGCAGCCAACCTCTTTGACCTGAAACCTCTAGTCAGTCTTAGTTTTGAAAATGCATAAGAGCTCTGAGAGGAGAAATGCATAGTATGAGAGGAGCTCTAGTTCTTTATACTGTTCCTCGCCATTTCAGTCCCATTTTAACCCATCCATTCCATCATTCTATATTGGCCAAAAAATGTTACAGTTTCGTGTTCACGAAATCAGTTCATGATTTCCAAAGCTTCCAAAGGTGGATAGCTTTGGGGTTCCCCCATGTCCCTCTCCTTTTCTGCTTAGCTTTTAAAGAAGTCACCGAAAGTCTGCCTAGTGAGTTAAGCATCATTTTCTTAAACAACAAAACCATATACTTGTCTATAGATTTCCTCTTGACGGCATCAGGGAAATTGGGGTCCCAGAAGACCAGCAAGGCCTCGCTCTGAACCCCTGATCAATATGTGAAATAGCCTCCAACGCAAGCATTACGAATCGACTGAAAACCGACTTGTATGGGATTACGACAGTATAAAAATGTGTGTGATTATTGTATAGGGAGAGATGTTAGACCAGCTGCGCCGACCGTAGGTTAGCCTTTATTCCTCCGCCCTACCAAGTAGTACCGCACTATATTGTGCGATAGTTTCTAGCCCGTAGGATATAAAAACCATTTGTCAGTGAAAATGGATTCCGGTCTATTTACTGGAAAAAATTATTAGTAAATATTCAGAGTTTTAAAATTTGTTAAACAGCTGATATTCTGGAGGTGTCGTTGACGCGGACTAGGCAAAAAATGGCGGACGCTGGACGACGTTTGGAAATGAATTCCAAGTTCTTGCGGGACTGACTACACCAGATATTTCTGCTAAGCCACTGTTTAAATGTATTTTAAATGCAAGATAACTTAGACTCATAATGTGTTATACGGAGTACAAAATCTAGAAATAGAGTCCAGGTTGCATATATGTGCTACGTAGAACTTGATGATGACTTTTCTCTGTGGATAATTATTTATATTGTTTTCAGGCATGATGATAATGTCATTATTGCACGAGAAATTATGCCATGGTTTGAAGATGTCCACAGAGGGATCTGAGGAGCTGCAATGATTAGACTTTTTAATGGTTTATTTGGTTTTTGGTACATAAGGTTCACTATTTCAGTGACACTGCACATTAACTAATGTCATCAAAGGGAAGTGTGGAACCCACTAATTATTTATGTTGGTTATATGTTTTTTCTGTATTTTTGTTTTTATATGATACACAATCTAGGATTACTGTACTCCTTAGGATGATTTTCCCTAGACATTTGTCAACAGGCTAACAACATAAATCCCCCGGGGTACAGCCAAGTGAAGCTACCCATAATGCCTAGCCTAGATGAACGTGAGCAGTGAACCGTAACATATAGAGTTATTATAATCATGCCCGCAGACAGTACCTTTCTTGGAGCTTCTCTAGAGCCAAACAAATTGAAGAAATCCTTGGAAAAGATAACTGATGTTAAGTAGACAACATTGATGCTCAAAATGCATGTTATCTTCTCAATTGCTGCATACCCGTTAACCTTCTTTATGAGACATGACCCATCACACAGCAGCAATATGCGTGAGGAGCGAGACATCCTTCTGAGGATCATGTAAGACAAAAATTGTCAATCATTCCCTCAGTGACTCGACAGAGACAAGCCAGTGTTTCAATATGGCTCAGTGGCCTTAGTGTGAGCATTGTTATTCCAACCACCATACTTTTTATGTTCGTTGCCTGTAAGAGATGACCTAACCAAGGGAACTTTACCAGATAATTTAGGTAAGTCAGCGGAGAAATATGACTCCAGCTTTGCAGAATGCACCACAAAATTGAATACTTTGACAGTCCCAGCTCTCAGACCAGTCTCATCAAAAGCCATCAAACATTCCAACTGGAACAACCCAATCGAGGAAAAGGAAGTCACAACTTTGCTCGAATAGCAACAATACCCAACTGTTCATGCCTCATACTTGAATATACTTCAACACAGGGGATTTCTTTTTGGCAATCTCTATGTCTGCAACAGATATACGTTCTAATTCGCAGCACATTCATATTACAGTGGCTCTTTTGCACCAAACCAAGATGTATATAAGTGTATTTGAGGCGAGGCAAAAGCAGATGAATACGGGTTTCGTGGTGTGCACCTGAGAAAATCAGAGGTCTGTCACTCAAGGCACGACAAAGTCAACATTATTATTAAAAGGGGTCTTGCCCATGCCCAGTGTAGAGCAGAGTTGTTGTTATAGATTTAGCTACTCGGAACAAGTTCCAAGTAGCACGGGCTATGGTGAGCCCGTAGTGGACTTACCTAGCAAAGGAGCGGTGCGCGTAGAGCAGAAGGAGTCTTATATTATAAAGACCAGACGGAATTTCACCACACCGATGGAGCAGTGGCTGACAGTTGCCGTGGGACTGTACTGTACTCACTGCTGCAGCCACCTACATTACGCGTTCTGCTGGCCAAGCAGATGCCGCTGCCACCAACAACTAAGATTCTTGGTCAAAGGCGAGAAAGTACCAGGCGTTTTCTCAGGACTCTGGGTTCCAGGCTCCACGAAACAAAATCGGATCCTAGCGACGCCAGTTTCCTTTTTCAAAGATTCAGTGTTGCTGTTCAGACGGTAAACATCCATTGAATCCCTGGTTTACGTCCGGAATCCGTGCATGTCGAAGAAATCTACAGGCAATAATTTGTATTGTTCCTATTTTGTAACCTGGAGGGTCATGGATCACCTCACTGGTTAACCAGTACTAATATACCAGCATCGACTGCCCAAAAAAATGTTGTACAGTCCTGGAACTGGTAAGCTACCCCGCTCGTCCCACGACCATACACCACCCAGCAACACTAGCGGTGAATATTAGAAACAGTTTTTCATCATATCCTTGCACACATGGTGCGATTGGTCCGAGCCTAAAAATTTGTGAGATAAAGTTTGAATGGTCCCCAAGCCATAAATCATAATCAACTCTTTTACCCTACTTGGATTCAAACCTGGGCGGCCAGGGGTCAACCCAATGGCTACCCACAACTACCACCACCACTCTACAGTCGATTGCCTACGTAAATGATGTATGGTTCTGGAACTCTGATGGTACCACACTAGGTGCCTGAGTTTATATAACCTGACGACACTCCTGGTGCATGCAGGGTACAGTTTTCATCCAATTATAGCTGACGTAGGTTCGTTCAGAGCCTTAAGTGTGAGACAAAGCTTAAAGAATGGTTCCCAAGCCATAAATCACAATAAAGTGGCAATCGATGGTGGAGTGGTGTTAGTACTGGGTAGTCAGAAGGTGGGTGACCCCTTGCCATCAAAGTTCGAGCCCTGTGTGAATTTACGGCTTGCTGACTATTCAGTCTCCAAAGTCTCCAAGCCAAGAACGATCCCAGCATGTGGTGTGATTTCATGACCAAAGCAGTAAGCAGTATGGGTACATACACAACCTGGCAACACCCCGAAAGTTGTCAGGTCGAAATTTTTTATATATATATATATATATATATATATATATATATATATATATATATATATATATATATATATATATATATATATAATATAATTTCCCTTGAACCTGCCCTTGAACCTAGGCCATACAGATAAACTTACAGATAGACACACACACACAGTATATTTTTACAGCGATAGATATGCTCCAGTGGACCACACTATGATTAAATAGAAATTTGTCTTACTCCAACTTAATTATCTCACAGATGTGAGATAACTCATACGCATCGCCTGTATTGCTACTGAACCACAGTTTTCCTGCTTCGAATTAGCTTCCAATTAGTGGGAGCTCTATAATCATACCCATAGAGTGAATAAGGTGCTTTAGAGCCCGTGTATGGGCCATTAAAGCCCGGCTGAGTAATCAACAGAGCTCCACTATTGGTTGTCCCCCCTTGCTACCCGGCAACCCACTTCTTCTTTCCCTTTCAACACCCATCTGTCGCATTCCAAAAGATTCCCCATACCCCAGCCACACCAACGCCAGCCACACCAACGCCAGCCACACCAACGCCAGCCACACCAACGCCAGCCACACCAACGCCAGCCACACCAACGGCAGCCTCACCAACGCCAGCCACACCAACGCCAGCCACACCAACGCCAGCCACACCAACGCCAGCCACACCAACGCCAGCCACACCAACGCCAGCCACACCAACGCCAGCCACACCAACGCCAGCCACACCAACGCCAGCCACACCAACGCCAGCCACACCAACGCCAGCCACACCAACGGCAGCCACACCAACGGCAGCCACACCAACGCCAGCCACACCAACGGCAGCCACACCAACGGCAGCCACACCAACGCCAGCCACACCAACGCCAGCCACACCAACGCCAGCCACACCAACGCCAGCCACACTAACGGCAGCCACACCAACGCCAGCCACACCAACGCCAGCCACACCAACGCCAGCCACACCAACGCCAGCCACACCAACGCCAGCCACACCAACGCCAGCCACACCAACGGCAGCCACACCAACGCCAGCCACACCAACGCCAGCCACACCAATGTCGGGCACCAACATAATCATCATATTTTTACTCTGAGATACAACTTCCTGTCACGCCAAATGCCCGGGAAACCAGCAAGGCAGGAGAGACAGACCAGCCTGAAGACACAGGCCAGCCTGAAGATACAGACCAGCCTGAAGACACAGGCCAGCCTGAAGACACAGGCCAGCCTGAAGATACAGACCAGCTTGAAGACACAGGCCAGCCTGAAGAGACAGACCAGCCTGAAGACACAGGCCAGCCTGAAGACACAGGCCAGCCTGAAGATACAGACCAGCCTGAAGACACAGACCAGCCTGAAGATACAGACCAGCCTGAAGACACAGACCAGCCTGAAGACACAAACCAGCCTGAAGACACAGGCCAGCTTGAAGACACAGGCCAGCTTGAAGACACAGGCCAGCCTGAAGACACAGGCCAGCCTAAAGACACAGGCCAGCTTGAAGACACAGGCCAGCTTGAAGACACAGGCCAGCCTGAAGATACAGACCAGCCTGAAGATACTGGCCAGCCTGAAGACACAGACCAGCCTGAAGACACAGACCAGCCTGAAGACACAGGCCAGCCTGAAGACACAGGCCAGCCTGAAGACACAGGCCAGCCTGAAGACACAGGCCAGCCTGAAGACACAGGCCAGCCTGAAGACACAGGCCAGCCTGAAGACACAGGCCAGCTTGAAGACACAGGCCAGCTTGAAGACACAGGCCAGCTTGAAGACACAGGCCAGCTTGAAGACACAGGCCAGCCTGAAGACACAGGCCAGCCTGAAGACACAGGCCAGCCTGAAGACACAGGCCAGCCTGAAGACACAGGCCAGCCTGAAGACACAGGCCAGCCTGAAGACACAGGCCAGCCTGAAGACACAGGCCAGCTTGAAGACACAGGCCAGCCTGAAGATACAGGCCAGCCTGAAGATACAGACCAGCCTGAAGATACTGGTCAGCCTGAAGACACAGGCCAGCCTGAAGACACAGGCCAGCCTGAAGACACAGGCCAGCCTGAAGACACTGGCCAGCCTGAAGACACAGGCCAGCCTGAAGACACAGGCCAGCCTGAAGACACAGGCCAGCCTGAAGACACAGGCCAGCCTGAAGACACAGGCCAGCCTGAAGACACAGGCCAGCCTGAAGACACAGGCCAGCCTGAAGACACAGGCCAGCCTGAAGACACAGGCCAGCCTGAAGACACTGGCCAGCCTGAAGACACTGGCCAGCCTGAAGACACTGGCCAGCCTGAAGACACTGGCCAGCCTGAAGACACTGGCCAGCCTGAAGACACTGGCCAGCCTGAAGACACTGGCCAGCCTGAAGACACAGGCCAGCCTGAAGACACAGGCCAGCCTGAAGACACAGGCCAGCCTGAAGACACAGGCCAGCCTAAAGACACACGCCAGCCTGAAGACACAGACCAGCCTGAAGACACAGGCCAGCCTGAAGACACAGACCAACCTGAAGACACAGACCAGCCTGAAGACACAGGCCAGCCTGAAGATACAGACCAGCCTGAAGATACTGGCCAGCCCGAAGATACAGACCAGCCTGAAGATACGCTACGAAACTAGCGTTTCGGGCAGGTCCCTGGAATACGATCCCCCCTGCCGCGAAGAATCGTTTTTTTATCCAATTACACATTTTACTGTTGCGTTAAATAGAGGCTACAGTTAAGGATTTGCGCCCAGTTAATCCTCCCCGGCGTGACATGAACCTAGGACAAAGCGCTCGTGGAACGCCAGGTGAGCGTCTTACCACTACACCACGGAGACTTATGCATATGGATATGCATATCCATATGCATATCCTCCTTGCATATGGAAATGCAAGGAGGCCGAAGAGTTTTATACCAGCAGTAAAGGAAAAATGTAGGAAGAATATATTAATCCATGGGTTAATATACAGTCCCAAGAAACGATAAAGAGAAGTTGAAGGAAGTGGAGGATGTACAGAGGGCAAAAGACAGGACAACAGGAATAGATGCAACAGAGCTCAGAACGAATTCATAAACGAGGAAATCAGAAAGGAATTAGCAGAACGATATTGCTATCAATCTTGAGATGATTTCGGGGCTTAGCGTCCCCACGGCCCGGTCCTCGACCAGGCCTCCTTTTTGTTACACACCCCCCAGGACGCAGCCCGTAGCAGCTGTCTAGCTCCCAGGTTTCTCTTTACTGCTAGGTAACAGGAGCATCAGGGTGAAAGAAACATTTTGCCCATTTGCCTTCGCCTCCACCGGGAATCGAACCCGGAACCTCAGGACTACGCATACGAAGCGCTGTCCACTCAGCTGTCAGGCGCCCTATCACAGCAATAAAGCCCCTTAAATTACTACATTGTTTAAAAAAAAGGAAACTGTCGGTGAAGGGAGACGTGACAAGACTCTGGAAAACTGTCGGTGAAGGGAGACGTGACAAGACTCTGGAAAACAGGTGGTGACAATTTAGAAAGCGACAAGAAAATCTGCGAGGGAGCCGGTCGGCCGAGCGGACAGCACGCTGGACTTGTGATCCTGTGGTCCTGGGTTCGATCCCAGGCGCCGGCGAGAAACAATGGGCAGAGTTTCTTTCACCCTATGCCCCTGTTACCTAGCAGTAAAATAGGTACCTGGGTATTAGTCAGCTGTCACGGGCTGCTTCCTGGGGGTGGAGGCCTGGTCGAGGACCGGGCCGCGGGGACACTAAAAAGCCCCCTAAATCATCTCAAGATAACTCAAGTACTGAATGCCATCATCCATGGAGTGTTCACAACCGATCCTGAGCAGCTCCCATTGTTAGAAGAGATGACCCAAGATGAGAGACTAACGAATATAGAGGTGACAGCAGAGCAGGTAATGAAACAGCTAACAACACTGGATGTAAATAAAGCGGTTGGACCAGACAATGTATCATCGTGGATATTAAAAGAGGCAGCGCAGGCTCTCAGGGAGCCTCTAGCAAGGATCTTTAATAAGACACTTAGGAAGGGAGAGTTGCCAAGTTACTGGAAAAAGGCTAAGGTGGTACTAATTTTCAAGAAAGGAGATAGGGAAGAGACCTTTAACTACAGACCCGTAGTACTGAAAAGCATCCCCTGTAAATTAATTGAAAGAATTGTCAGGATAAGACTGGTTACACACTTAGAGAAAACTAGGTATGTAAACAAACACCAACATTGGTTCATAGAAGGGAAATCATGCCTGACAAATTTCTGGAATTCTATGATAAAGTAACAATAAATTAAACGCGAGACAATGTTAGAGAAGGTTTAGAGGTATGCCACCAGTCTAGTCCTAGAACTGAGAGGTATGATTTACGTCATACATAGCCTCACGTCCCTGGAAAACAGTTGAGTTAAGGAGGACATGATCACTACCTACAAAATTCTCAGAGGAATTGACAGGGGTGGAGAAAGACAAACTATTTAGCACGGGTGGGACACGAAAAGGGGGACACAGATAGAAGTTTAGTACCCAAATGATACACAGACACATTAGAAAGAATTGTTTTTGGTGTCAGAGTAGTTAACAAATGGGATGCATTAGGCAGTGATGTGGTGGAGGCTGACTCCATATAATGTTTCAAATGTAGATATTATTGTGTCCAAAAGTTTCAGGAATCTGTACATCAGTTGATTGACAGTTGAGAGGCGGGACCAAAGAACCGAAGCCCAGCCCTTCACCCCCACAAGCTCAACTAGGCGAGTACACCCACCCACACACACCCATCGCCCTCTTTATCAATTCAAGTAAAAGCATTTCTTTGTGCCAACCTCCAAATACAGAACTGAACCAACGAATCCCCGAAACCATTAAGTCGGAACAAAAACACTTTCCTCTATTTACTCGAACTTTTCTAGGCACCAAATCAAGGCATTCCTGACTAGAGGCGCGGCCGGGGCTCCTCTCGCCCCGTGAACCACCTCCCACCACACCACTGTGTAATAACAAGCTTGCACACACTTACCCTAATGGAGGCTTTCAGTGGTGCTCACGCGCTGCTCAACGAAATCAAAGACAATCGTAACTCGCCATATTTTATGGATTCGACAAGAAAAAAAAAGAGGAGACACAAACAAAAAAAGGAGGAGGTGAAGTGTAAATGGAAATGGAGAAAACACCCGAGCCAAATCTGTCGGTCTGTCTAGCCATCAGCCGTAAGGCTTGACGCATAGTGGTCATCGATATTGGAGCGTAAAAATGTTGATGGTTCATGCTGGCTCCATTCTTTGTGTTCGTGTGTGTGTGTGTGTGTGTGTGTGTGTGTGTGTGTGTGTGTGTGTGTGTGTGTGTGTGTGTGTGAGAGAGAGTGTGTGTGTGTGTGTCGGGGTGGGGGGGGGGCGGAGGGGGTACTCACTTTTTTGTTCTAACCTATTTTTGCCTACAGGATTGAGCATTGCCTCTTGGATCTCATATTTCTTACGACCGGGCCGCGGGGACGCTAAGCCCCGAAATCATCTCAGGATAACCTCAAGATGATAACCGTCTGTTTATAGCAATGATTCCTGCCCTATTTTCCTATTTGTATCTAGTTTTAAAATTATGAATAGAGTTTCCTTCCATAACCTGCTCCTTAAGTGCATTCCATTTTCCACTACTCTCACGCTAAAATAAAATTTCTTAACATCTCTGTGACTCATCTGAGGTTCCAGCTTCCTCCCATGTCTCCTCGTTCGGTTAATATTAAGTGTGAACTTTTCATCTATTTCCACTCTGTCAATCCCCCATAAGTATTTTATATGTATCTGCTATATCCCTCAAATCCTCTCTTTTTTTTTCTTGTGTCGTAAGGTTCAGTTCCTTCAGGCGCTCTTCATATCCCATCCCTCGTAACTCTCGGACAAGCCTCGTCGCAAACTTCCGAACCTTTTCCAGTTTCCTAATGTGTTTCTTCAGGTGTGGACTCCTTGATGGCGCAAGACTGGTCTCACGTAGGCAGTGTAAAGCGCCCTAAAAGCATCCTCCTGAGGTTTCTGAATGATGTTCTAACTTTTGCCAGTGTAGAGTATGCTGCTGTCGTTATCCTATTTGTATGTGCCTCAGGAGATAGATTAGGTGTTAAGTCCACGCCCAGGTCTCTTTCTCGCATTGTCACAGGTAGGTAGTTTCCCTTTATTGAGTAGTCTCCTGTTCTGGTCTCCTGTTTAGGTTTTCATTTTGGTCTCCAGTCACCTAATCCTATTTCCATAACTTTACATTTGCTGGTGTTGAACTCCAGTAGCCATGTCTCTGACCATCTCTGCAATCTGTTCAAGTAATCTTGGAGGATCCTACAACCTACAATCCTCATCTGTCACAACTCTTCTCATTTATTTTGCGTCATCCGCGAACAACGACATGTTTACTGGAGTAGAGTTCTACATGTAATTTTCGTATATTAGAAATAGAACTTGTCCCAGCACCGATCCTTGGGGTACTCCACTCGATACTGTTCGCCAGTCCGTCTTCTCACCCCTTACTGTTACTCTGGCTTTTTCCTGTTAGGTAGTTTTTTACCCACGCTAGGGCCTAAAGCTTACTCCCGCCTGCCTTTCAAATTGGCGGGAAAACACACACACACACACACACACACACACACACACACACACACACACACACACACACACACACACACACACACACACACACACACACACACACACACACACACACCCCACACACACACACACCCCACACACACACACCACACACACACACACACACACACACTGTACTCACCTAGTTGTGCTTGCGGGGTTGAGCTCTGGCTCTTTGGTTCCGCCTCTCAACTGTCAATCAACTAGTGTACAGATTCTTGAGCCTACTGGGCGCTATCATATCTACATTTGAAACTGTATATGGAGTCAGCCTCCACCACATCACTGCCTAATGCGTTCCACCTGTTAACTACTCTGACACTGAAAAAGTTCTTTCTAACGTCTCTGTGGCTCATTTGGGTACTCAGTTTCCACCTGTGCCCACTTGTTCGCGTACCACCAGTGTTAAACATTTTATCTTTATCTACCCTGTCAATTCCCCTGAGACTGTGTGTGTGTACTCACCTATCTGTACTCACCTATCTGTGCTTGCAGGATCGAGCATTGACTCTTGGATCCCGCCTTTCCAGCTATCGGTTGTTTACAGCAATGCCTCCTGTCCCATTCCCCTATCATACCTAATTTTAACAGTATGAATAGTATTTGCTTCCACAACCTGTTCCCCAAGTGCATTCCATTTTTCCACTACTCTCACGCTAAAAGAAAACTTCCTAACATCTCTGTGACTCATCTGAGTTTCCAGTTTCCACCCATGTCCCCTCGTTCTGTTATTATTACGTGTGAACATTTCATCTATTTCCACTTTGTCAATTCCCCTGAGTATTTTATATGTCCCTATCATATCTCCTCTCTCCCTTCTTTTCTCTAGTGTCGTAAGGTTCAGTTCCTTCAGACGCTCTTCATATCCCATCCCTCGTAAATCTGGGACAAGCCTCGTCGCAAACCTCTGAACCTTCTAGAGTTTCTTTGTGTTTCTTCAGGTGGGGTCTCCATGATGGCGCGGCATACTCTAAGACGGGTCTCACATAGGCAGTGTAAAGCGCCCTAAAAGCCTCCT